TGACCATGGCGACATTGTTCCTCAGTATTGACTGATCAATAAAACTCTCTAATTTCATTCAGTGTTTACCTGAAGCAGTTTGACATGAATACAAAAAAAACTTGGTTTAAATTCACCAAAGTGAGTAGTTGCTCCGTTAACATGATACTCGGATCTGAATGGAATTTGTTTTGTTTTTTTTTTCCCAAATAAGCACCACTAAGTTGCGTACGTTTCAAAAGACACAATCTTCCAATGAGGCTTGTCGCGCCACTGGGGGCCGACACTTTGGATGATGCCTGCATTATGTAGTGTCAATAACACACGACTTGGTGATACTTGAGATAAAAGCAGCATTGCATGGATACTGAGGATTTTCACCCCTCCCAATTCCCCTCGTTTGACCAAACATTGGCAGGGAATGATGAAGGTGCGGGAGAAGACTTTAGGACAGAAGGAGAGGTGAAGACACGGAGAGGGTATGGAGGAAATGACGGGGCAAATAAGAGAGACAAGGTAAGGATGGTGTACTACAGAGCAAAGACCATGCTAACAGTACCAAGTGGAGCGCAAACATACCTCTCGTTTCTCCTACTGCCACAAAGTCTTTCAGGTTGTTCCTTCTACACACAGCTGCATTCACTCCACAAAGCTCTCCTGTTCAGTTTGCCCTTAAAAACTATAAACATAAAAGGTAGATATCAGCAACGTGGCAACAAGATTAATTGTGTCTGTTGCTGAAAACTACATAGATATCCCAAGGACAGAGCAAAAGGACAAAGATGCAGAGGAGGATGTCTCTTCTGGAGTAAATGCAGCTCATCCTAGCCAGTCTGAGCCCCGTTGGTCAGAGTGCAGGCACTATATTAAAAAACACTCCTGGTATTTTGTGCGTTAAAAAAAAAAAAAAAGGCAATGCAAAGTCTGAGAAAGAAAAAAACTGTACAAAAAAAACAAAAAAAACAAAAAAAAAAACTATGAATGACTTCATTAGCTGGACTCTCCCAAATCTGTGAGATATCTCTGAGGTAATCATTGAAGTATGACTCATTAGACAGCAATAAATACCAACATGAATACAAATATTACAAAAGTAAAAACAGAGGCAAATGCTTAATGCTGAAAAAAATCTGAGCTAAGAGAGGTAGGTTTTTTAGGTAGATTATGGTGTACATCCATTGTGGACACTCCTTTTTGTAAGAACTACATTAAGTTGATTCCATTACAATCCCTGTCCTAATGGGAGGAACAAAAATAATAATAATAAAAAATAATAAAGACTTGAAAGCCTTTGCATGGGAGATGGCCAACTGTTTTCTATGAATGATATCATACATGTTTTACAGACAGGATTTGTAATGGCAACAGTTATACAAAAAACTTCAAAAATGTCTACTAACATGATAAACTGTAAAGCTTGCTGGTGATAGTGTACCATGAGTTGTATATTGCAGGCATTGTTACTGTGTTATGTTGCCAATCTTGAGGAAATCTCGACAAAGATGGATCCATCTAATTTGTAGTGTAGATTTCCACTGACGTATGGTTTTCAAGTTCCAGTATTTTAACAACCACGATGCAGAGTTTAAACTTACGGATTCTGAGCAGCCTACCATGGTAAAACCAAATAGGAAACTCTGGGGATGCATCATATTTCGATTAACTGCATTTGCACATTGTGCACAGTACATTGGTGCGGGGTATTAAATGGGGAAAAAGGTCCCAAAAACAACATTTAATCACATATTCAGTCATAAAAGGGAAAGAGGGGGTTCCCTTCTTACGACAAAAGCTGAAGTCAGAATTCCCCCTGACGCTATGTGGTACTGACCAAAAACTACTTGTTCAATAAGCGGCTGTATGATGCATCCTCAAGACTCTTCCTGTTCGGTTTTCAAATCCCCAAGAGAACTCCTCTTTTACCCTGTTCTTGTGTGGAGGGACCTCTTCCCGTGGCACTTACATGTTCACCAAACCTCCCACTGTATTAAACATACACAAATCAACACTGCATCTCTATCTCAAAAAGAAAATAGAACAAAATCAAACCAATAGCTACATACAGAAGTATGTAATCAGAGAAAAATCAACATGGAGACTTTTCAAAACTTCAAAAGTCAGTGTTCAGTAACCAAGCACATCATACCCCTCATCAAACTAACATACTATACATATGAGTGGTACTGCCTAAAGACACTCGAGCCTCAACTCCTTAAAGTTCAATCACAGCAGGGAAATTTGTGGGACATGTGGAATTATATATATACACAATATAATCCCAATGATTTTCAGGAAGAAAACCAAAACTTGTTATAATTTTGTGAATATAGAAACATCCAAAAAATATTAACCATCTGAGCTATGCAGATCATCTGTGTGTTCAACCCTGACTCTCAGCTTGCAGAGTGTCACAGTGACTGATAGCGAAAAGTTGGAATAAAGCCACAGTGACGGAGAATGGACTTCAAAAAAAAAAAAACGAAAAAGAAAGAAAAAAAAAAACCCCATGTGGGCTGAACAGATTAAAGCAACAACTGTCACAACTTCTCACGAAGCAGTTGTGAAAACACGTTGAGCTCAACAACAAACATATGCTCTCTCTCTCTCGCTCTCTCTCACCATCTTCCTCTATGATCACAGAGTAACCCTGGTCTGCTGAGATGAAGGAAGCTCTAGGTCTGACATAGGAAGCCCGTACAGCCAATCACAGGAACAGTTTGAACAAATGTCTTCTGTCACACAGCAAATAGAAGACAAAAAGAAAAGTTTGAGACTTTAGTGTCATCTCTGCAAATGATTTCCTTGAAGTCAAGTTGCTCCTCATGAAATCACTTGCACTTGGCAGGGATTAGACTTAACGCTTCTTTGGGGAATTGTCTTGATATAAAAGACACGTCGTCTCATATACTTTCACCATAATCCCACATGCGGCAAGCCATACATTACTGGCCTCTAAATCTAAAGCAATAAATTCTCTTGGCAGTTTGGTTTATAAGCCATTAGATGCTGTCTGATGAAGCATAAGCCAAAGATGACTGACAGCAGAGAAAAGGCATATGAGTTCCTATCATATACAAGCTTATCTTCCAAAAGCCATAGATAAATAGCATGAGTTTAGTAGATTATATAATGAGAATATCAAGGCTCTGGAGTCATCATGTTGATGTACTGTAATGCATCAGGTGTATAACTAGCTTTGTGATCTATATGGCTTATATTAGAGAGCAGCACGGTAGGTTTAGCTCGTCCTCTTTCGGAAAATGAACCTTGGAAATTATTCAAATACATCAACCCACCGCTACACAAATAATAATCTGACTGAGTCAAATACACAAGCAATCCCTGTTGAAGCCATTCTTAACTCATTCTTACCAAAAACATTATCAAAGTCAAAACAAAGAGCATAGTGTCTCAGAACATTGTGATAATGAATCTAAAACAAAAAAGGGTCAATATTGTATTTGCATATATATTTTTGAAAAAAATTAGCCTTGAGAAATATGTAGCCCTATGTACAGCGACAGATACATTACATATATATATATAGATATATATATCTATATATATATAGATATATATATATAGATATATATACCTGGTATTTACATAATTCAGCCACTAGAGGGCTGCGCAGCATACATCATCAAACAGGAGGGCCTGGGTATAGAGGTGCGCACCACCGCCACAACCAGGCCCTCAGACATTCTAGAAAATCCACTTCCCAGTCAGAAATGAAAGGGGTGTGATATCTGTGGAGGTCTGAAGCAGCTTCCCAAGCTCTCCACCCACCGAGCTCACTGTGTACTGAGGAGGAACAATTCATGGAATTGTTTTTAAAGGTGAAGTAACGTATAAAACACAAAAGAGACCATTGCAATTACATCCGTATCTATGCCAATTCCAAGTAAGGTATGCAGCTATATATTAACAAGAGAGGCCCCTTGCTTTGGCCTCGATTTACTATTCCAGTTAGATTTGGCATTTTAGCCCTTTAAAATCTGTGATAATATAGATGCCGTATATCAATACATAGGCTTGAGTAAAAGGTGGTATAACAGTGCTTAGGATACATGTGGTAGCAATTAACTATTTACAGGAAAATAAACAATTAAAACAAAAGAGAAGAATAATGAAAAACAATTTCAAAAGAGAGTAACAAGCCTTAATGCAGGCTTAGTTTGATTGACAGTTAGCAGTGTAAAAGTAGCTAACACATTTAGTGGCTAATTCTCACCTCAAAACCAAGCACCCCAAATTCCTATCAAAACCTGACTAAATTACAGACTATGCTCTCTACTCTGCAGTATAAACCTATATAATGACATTTTCCTTCATAGGCTGTGAGGCTAGTCAGACAACTTGCTAGCATGTCGAAAGACTGCATGCATGAAAGACCCATGGAGCAGCAAGGTTATTATTTTAGGTACTGGAAGCTTTTGAGAAAGTAGTTGACCATACCTTTGGTGAAAGGTGAAAGGCATGTGTTTGAATTGTATACACAGTCATATACATTTGCTGCCTTTGAGAGTAGCAGATGAAAAACAAAATACAGGATTTTTTGAAACATCCAAAAACGTCAAAGTAATGTGCAGGCACTGCTTTTGCACCGATAAACTGAAATGTCATCTGTACGGTATCTAAATTGTTCTGTGTAAAAGTTACTGTTTCACATAGGTGATGTAAATATAAATATAAAACAACCCCAGTAAAACCAAGAGGTAGCTCAACTGAATGGCTAGATGAATAACTGAGTATGTTTGTTGTGTTGGTGTGTGGACGACAATGTGCACACACAAAATGTCCTGGCATCTGAAGCAGCTGTTCGTTGATTTAAATACAGACAAAACACTGTATATAGGCAGAAGTTGTATGTATAGTTTAATCTGTATTATATGAAGTTCCCTTGTTTACTGTGTCTTTTAGCATCTGCTTGCTCTCCATACAACCTTGGCCTTTACACCAAGATAGACTTCTTTAGACAAGACACACATGAAACCACATACCCAAAACACACACGCGCGCACACACACACACACACAAAGACATACATAAACATACACGCACACACACGCACACCATTTCCTCTCCTCTACTCGCATCTTACTTCACACCTCCATTTAGCTCATCTGGCACATTCTCAGCTCTCTCCCTCCATTTTACCCCCAGGGGCCTCGTCTCCAGCTTCCGCTGGACCTCTGAGGTTTAGAGGCGGCCTCTAGGAGACTTCACTGCCGAACACCTCCAACACCAGCGGGGTGAGCTGCATGCTGTGCTCCGGCTGGAAGGAGAGTGAGCGGTACTGTTTGGAGTGCTCCTCATTGAGGCTGCGCAGGTCGGCCAGTTTCTGGATCATCTTGGCGTAGAGCAGCCGTCCTCCTGGGTGGTGAAGCTGGATGTAGGCTTGCAGGGTCTCTGAAAGGCGGTCTTGGAGGGCTTCGATCCGTGCGTGATCCTGCACACCTGGGCGGTCTGAAACAGAGGAGGGGAGTCTTACGATTTATTGTTCTTACACAAGCTATAACAGAATGGAATAGTTAAAATTTAAATGCTGTTGGAAAACTGATGATTTCAATATTTGTGTTTACTGTGGAATAATAATATTTATCCTGGAAAACAATCAAGAGGTCAAGTTGTAAATTATATAAAATTGCATGATCTTGGTATTCCTACTGCTCTGGTAAAGGCCTTGCTAATTTTAGATCAGGTAGAGCACATCTATGTATTGTTAATGAGTTGCTTCATATACACAAAGGGATGCAAATATCCACTTAGTTACACATGCTTGCTTGCTTGCTTGCATAACTATACATCTATAATGTATACACTGTATTTTCTAAAAATGCATACCATGCACACAAATGTGTGTTCAGATCAAAGCCAATACTCAAGAGAGACATGAAACCTTTCATGTAGCTTAGACCTGCTCAACAGTGTGATTTACATTGAGTGACAGATGACAAAAATACAGCAATATTATCTAACCAAAATGTTTACGTTGATCTTTTGCCACGATGAATACATTCTGTATTGGAAAAAAAGAGGCAAATGCAATCACTCATGAACAATTCATGATGACCCTCTTCATGTTCCCTCCTCCACACAGTCAGATGAACGGTACCTGGAGAAAGCAGGCAGATGGCCATCAGCAGCACATGTTCCTCCTCGTGCAGGCTGAGCTTCTTCAGGCCCACCTGGAACTTCACCAGTGGCTCCAACAGCTCCAGAGTGTGGCCAGCTATAGAAGAAAGAGCACATCGTTACTGTGCAGAACATACAACCAGCTCCATACTATATCACAGAAGAAAGGCCCTCCGGGGAATGTTACCATCCCTCTTACTCATTAATATTTCATTTTGCCTCTTTGAATCATCTCTGGTGTGGTTTTTTTTGCTTGCCTGCTGTACGTTCTCAGGTTTTCACCAGGAACTACTGGTCGGGAATCTTGTTTGTGAATTAGGCTCAGTTTATATGCCTTTTCTTAGGCAGGGTAGACGTGTAAATGAGAAGCCATACAAATACTGATCAAAAGTTTTCACTGATTGTCATGAGTGTGCCTCCATTTTCTCATTTCATGGCTGGGTTATGAATTGAACCATAATGATTTCTAAGCACTGACCAAACTGTGCTTCTGAAACAGTTTCAATCAATTTATCTTAATTTGTATTTTATGTCCTTTATTATCCTAATTGAATAATCTAATTTTTATAGTATATTTTATTCGAGCAATGGTTTTTGTATTAAAACAACATTAAGACAATATTAAACAGTGATGCACATGTTTATACTGAACAAGATGAGGTACTAAAAATGATCACTTTGATCTGTGCAGAAACTTTGTGTTGTATTGGCATTGGTATTGAACATTTTCTAATGATACACAGATACACAATTATGCACTATTTATTACTGCATAAGAAAACATGTCTTTATTTGAGTCATGTTCATGTCACTATATTTTAAGAAGAGCACAACAGAGCTACTTCTCCTTGTCCAGACAGTGGCTGTTTTGTGTGGTGAGCAGGTCAGGAGTGACATTCTTGGTTGATCCAAGAAAGAGAGGATCTTGTTTGAAAGGCAAATGAAAGCCACGCCCAAAGGGCCTTCTGCAGATATGTAACACTGGTTTTGCGGGAAAAAAAATAGCATCCTTTGCCTATGGGTATGTACACAGGCCACTGCAAGTAACTTTATCTGTACTCCCACACCAATGATACACCTCCTTAACGCCGCACGGCTTCCTTCCAGCTCTGAGAAGAAGCGTTAATGTGTAACACGCGCATCTTCTCTTCAACTATCAGCAGAGCAAAACAAGTTGCCAAGCGTGCATAGCCATCGTCTTTAACACTAGATTGTCTTCACAGCAGTCAAACTGTACACGTGGCAGCTTTCAGACTGACCTTTGGTGACATCACTGATCTGGTATTTAAAGTCAGGCGCACCACAGCTCCAGGACATGTCTTCCAGGTTGAAGCTCTGATTTGAGCGCAGCATGATCACTTCAATGGCGCTGGACTTGAGCAAGGCAATCTGGTCCTCTGCAGTCAACTCCCTGTAGGGAAAGGAATCATCTTTATGTTATTGTAACAGTCTTTAAATAACCGTGACCATGTCAAAACTAAATCATGGGTCACTGATACAGCAGCAGGTAAACAACAAGGAAAGATTCAAAGCAAGTACCTGCCCACTGTTTTACTGACTATGGGTTCAAGGTCAGTCACAGTCTTTATCAGATGTATGGTGTGCAGGAAGAAAAAAAAAAAAACACATCCAAAATGACTCTTTGTTTGCTTCCTCCTGTTGTGATGGGTCCTTGTGTCTGGAAAACTTATTTGATGGACATTAGTCAAACTGATGCCATTTTAAGTGTCATCACTGTCACAGTTAAACGCATCTAGTAATGTTTTGAAGTGTGTTTAAATGTTTATGACATGAAACTACTGAACTAGCAGGAGACATGAGCTGAAACATGGAGATCTTCAGGGGAGGTCTGGGGTGTTTTTCAGGGCTTAGGGAGCAGATCATAAGTGAACAAACATTCCAATGGTAATCCGACCACGTCCATCACTCGCTGCCAGTGGGAATGACAACTTTCAGGAAATACAGGCCCCGGCTTGTTTTAGCCAAGACTTTGGGGTAACCCCTGAGACACGGAGCTTTTGTCCCTGTCAACACACTGAGAGACAAACATGCTGGAAGGCAACAGTTGCCATGTGTGGGGAAGGAAGGTATGAAGATAACAATGAAAAAGCCTTGGGCAGTCATTGCAATTTTGCCTTTAAGGTCATAAATATAGTGCTGGCTTGTATCTATTCTATTTGCTCAAATCCATTTCAGGGTTATGCTGTTGTATTCTCCCTCAAATCTCTTGAGAATCGACTTTGTGCTTAAGTTTTAAACAAAAGACAATTTTTTTTACGTAATACGTCTATCACATGCTCTTACAGTGTTGTGTGATCATCTGATAGACAACCTGACAGTGTAAATGCAGGGTAGACAGGTGACTGCTACGTGCTAGAGGAATGTATTTCTCAAAGGTTAGGCAATAACCTACTAACGTACTTAAAGGGGCAAACTTCACATTAACAACTTGACCATGGAAAATGTATAACCTCATCCAGTGAGGGAACAACACAACATAAAAGATTTTCCACAATGTGTCAGCTATCTGTAATATACAGTCTATCAGTAATCTATGGCCTTTAGACCACAGCCATCACTGTGGCACAGTATCGACTAATCAGGCAGAAAAACAAGTAGGTGTACAAAGTCTTCAACACACATTTAGGTAAAGAGTCACTCTGAGACGTGCAAATAAAAAATACATGAGGTCTGAAAGTTCTGTTAGTACAGCTACATTTAGGCAAAAATTTGATTTTGTCTGACTACACCATTTGGTTGCATAAGGAGGACTATTCTGAATGTAAATAACAAAGTCAACAAAGAAAATCAGATAAACAGAAAGTTCCCTGCAAAAACTGAAGTACAGAGAAAAAAAGTGTACCATCTCCTCTTTCTCTCTGTTGCAGTGTTATGTCAGCTATGAGTAGTGATAGATTGCTGAATGAAAACTGAAACTCAGAAGTCAACTTTTAAATGCAAAACAGTCCAGACCAAGACTGAAAACAGAACTGGCAACTTGTTATTATTGTAAAGTAATTATTTCTACAAACTATCATATTTTTTTGCCATCTTATATCGGTCATTGTGAATCTTTTTTACGAGCCTATTTGACAACAAATCAAATCTCCAGACAAGGCATGTTATTTCTTGCTAACATCAGTTGGTAACAACTAATAATAATTGAACTGAATTGAATGCAGATTGAAAGATTCAAAATACTGACAGATGGATACAATGTTGCTTTCTACACGCAAACACACCTGAACCCAGGGATCATCTTGGCAAATCCAATGACCTTCTGGATGCTATAGGAGACCAGGTCAGCTAGGTGAGGCAGCATGGAGAAGCTGGAGCCCTCCTCCTCACTGGAATCAGGGCTGCTGCCCTGCTCCTGGTACATCATCAGCAGGTTGTTTAAGTTCATTTTGGTGTCTACTGACTCTGTAGTGAGCAGGATAAACAGCAGAGCAGAGAGGAGACCAGGGGAGGAAAAAGACAGAAGAGAGTAAAAAAGAAAGGAGGAAAAAGTGTTCATACATAAGGCACAACAAAGCCACACTATTCCTCCATGAACATACACACTCTGTGCAGAGAGAACATTGAGAAATCATGAAAATAGTTAGGGCTTGTTGGCAGAAAGGATCATCTGAAAATAGTTGGGTGTCAAGTAAGTAAAACTGAGATGAAAGCTCTGACAACACGTGAAGCATGGAGAGCTAGCTGGGTTGTTTTGAGTCATTTGTGTGTGCTGAGTGTTGGCGGTGGGCCACGTGACCGCGTCCCTCGCTGTGTTCACTCCATTAGTGACGGATGCATTAATGAACTGATGTTTACTAGAAGGAGTCAGGTGTCCGCAGGGTACAGGTTATTCACAGGATTTCCACTGGATTCTCAGTAAAGCAGCATAACAGATTATGTAAGCCAACATGCAAACAGCTGAACTGGAAAAAATAAAATTGCCATAAGTATTAACTCTTTTGATTTGCTGGGGGAAAAATGGTTTAATTATATTACTGAGCAGTCAATGCTCAGTCAACTTGATTTTTAAATGAAGTCCTCGTACTTTGTGTCTCTTACCTGGAGAGTGACTGAACGAGTCAGAGGAGGCATCAGACAGAGAGTGGAGAGAGGCAGCTCTGCTAGCGCTACGCGTCACTGGGCCCTCACGCACAGGAGGCTAGACAGGAGGAAAAGGCACATGTAAAAACCCCAGAGGATAAATCCAGTCACTAAAATTAAATACCAGAAAATAAGGCATCTAACAGCTGACCAATTTGTGTTCATTGTTCTGATTCTCATTCAAAAACACAGCATATGCAGTTTTGTTGAATATCTGCTCAGTGGGATTTAATTACTGGCCTTGACTGTGGCTGTGTGTGTAATTTGTGGAGATGGAAACTAAAAAATGAATTTCAGAGGAGAAATGGCTTGAGGGACTGCTGGGTAACATAAAGGGTATAACGAGTATCAAAGGGATCCCTGTACAAATTTGAAAGTAATGCAAATACTGTTATTTTATGGACGTAACAAACTGCAAATGTACATCGACGTTTCTATAGATACTTGTCTGTTCTATCTTAACATTAGTATAACAGCATTAGCTTTATTTTTATGCTGTTTGAAATCAACAGTGTGAAATAAATTTGAACGCATAATCTTGATTTGGTGACAACAATAACCATATTTAGACACGAACCCTGAAGCGGCAGAAGTCAGAGTAGGAGTCGTCATATGTTTTGTGGTGTGCCTCCACCAGCGTGGCGATGACCTGACTTTGCTCGTCAGTGAGCCGGGGTCGCCGTGCCTCCCTCTCTGCTTCGCGCTGCGCCTCCTCCTCCTTCCTTCGTTGAATCAGGTCCTTCTTCCTCTGCACTTCCTCATCTGTCAGAATGACTGGGGAGGGGGGGCAGGGGGGAATAAAAGAGGGAGAGAAGAGTGTTAGAATTACAATGCACACACAGGAAAAAAAAAAACTTTCAGGAAAAAAAACATAAATGAAAAACACAGTTTTTGTTTAAGAATGACATTAATAAAACAGGAGAAGCAGAGAAACCACTGGAAAACAAGATAAAAACAGCCTGGATGACAGAATACAGGTATAGCATAAAAACTGGTTGGAGGTACAGAGCTTTTAAAGCTTTTCAGTATGTACTTGTCTTTTACATCGTGATGACAGCTATGTCAATGCGGTGCTGGGTGGAGGGGGGGGGGGTTGTTATTCTCTGGAGGAAGAGAATGGGAGGGGACAGTTCCATATGGAGACCCCTGCTGCAATGAACAAGTGAACGCATTGTCTTTGTTCTGTTCGCTCCTTGTTGTTCTAGCCACTGAATTAGCTCACAGAGTCAGAGAGAGAGGGAGAGAGAGAGAGAACTGGTTCTCAACAACATGCTCCTGTTTTTGCAACAGCAACGCTGTTCACGTACAGTAAATCGGAGTGTCGGTGCCATTGCTCTTGTGGTATTCCCAGAAACACCCTGGGGAAAAACATCCAGCTGGAAGTGAGAGGCCTTTGCTTTAAAAGTGGCCTGCGGACAATTTGCGGATATCGGGGGAAAACTAGAAAAGATGTACCTGCTATTTACAGACCATGAAAATAAACAAGCCTGTGTGGAAAGAAGAGGCCTTGCTAGATTGTACATAACAGCAGGTGTTGAAACTTCAGATGGAGTATACTTACTGTATACAATGTGGGGAGGCTCCAGTAGTTCAAATAGAACGTGTAAACACTCTAATGGGGGCAAAGACCCTGGGACACTTGACCACAGTCCAAATATTACATAATATTTACAAGAGGCCCCCAAAAATTGCAAAAAGTGGTTGTGTAAATTTTTCTACCAACAATTGTAACAATTATTACTGATAATTGTAATTTTTCGAGAGGAAAAGCAAATTTGGTATAATTCACAAACAGCAGGTAGCATTAATGTGTAAACTGTAAATGTGTAAATTGGAGGTTGGTCTTGGTTCAGGCTATAATGTTAACTCATATTCAGACCTTTCAGGTCACAAAAAAAAACAAAAAAAAAATTACTGCCCCCCTTCTTTAATACAAGCAATCTAATTAATCATATAATTTATGATATGAACCATGCACTGAACCCAAAGGGCCAAACTGGGATCAACTTGCAAAACCTAAATAACTCCACTATTTAAATACATGCAGTAAATCAGACGGTGTAAGGTTAGAGTATTGACCTGAAGACATATGGGTCACCTGTCATACTTACACTCTTTCATCATGCCAATGTCCACACAGCGTTTGAGCCGGCATGCCTGGCAGTGGCGCCTGTTGTCCTTGGTGATGGTGCAACTGCCATTAAAGGGACATGTGAAGGTGGCCTTGCGCTTCATACTGCGCCTAAATGAATTGTATACATTTTACAGTCTGTTAAAATACACAGATATATCAGTGTATAAACACACAAAATTTTAAAAAAAGAAGTCACTACAGTTATTAAGAATGTAGTTAAGGCTCAAAATGCATGTGCCTCTATATGTTTGTAACTGTGTTGATGATAGAAATCTGTGCATAGAATAAGAATTTGACAAATATAGCAAATAATAATCATGGTAGAACAAGATAAATATTTTTGCCCTTCAAGTCTGGGACTGAGTGGAACAGCATACATATGGCCGAGTGCCAAGGAATCCAGGGGTAAAAGATGAATCTTGCCAAATGATGACGCAAAGCATAATGATTTAGTTAGTAATGGACCACTTCCCCATTTAAGTGAATGGGAAAGTGGTCTCAGACTTTTGGACCCCACTGTATGTATGAACATTTATACACAGATGTGAGCAAAAACACACACACATGCTTGGTGAGAGTTCAAACAGAGGCCAGCTGAGAGACGAGGAAGGAGATTATTAAACATCCGTCTTTTTCATCCTCTCACTTTAAATATCAAGACTGCTGAGAGGAACGGACGCAAAAGGACGGATACATCAAAAACACACAAACTGGAAAAATCACGACTTACTCTAGTTTCGTCTTTGGTTAAATTGGAAACTGGTGTGTATCAATGAGCAGGGAGAAGCCGAGGCATTGACTATAGGGCCGAGCTCATTTGTATTCTCTACCTCCTGCTGAGCATTAGCGTGAACAGGAATGTTGTCAGTGGGTTTGTGTGCTCTTATGTAACTGTGGGTGGTAATTACATTTAATGTGCATGTGACTGTGTGGGTGGCCGTTATATATGCAAGTTCGGACCTATGTTTGTATGCAAATGTGTGTGTCAATAAATTGGTCAATATGCATCTTTTTTGCTTTAATCAGGGTGGTATGAGCTTTTGTGCAAAGACTATTTTGTGGTTGTGTGGAAACACACCTCTGTGCATTTAACCACACATATGCATTTGTGTACCTGAAAAAACCCTTGCAGCCCTCACAGGTCATGGCGTTGAAGTGGAAGCCAGTGGCTTTGTCACCACAAACGCCACAGATCCGTGGCACGTTCCTGTCGAACTCATCGGGGGCCAGAGTGGACGTACTCACAACTGTGGGCTCCATCACTGAACAGACAAAGAGGAATGAAGAGAGAAAAAGAGGAAAGAGAGAGGAAAAAAAAACAAATGAAATCAGCTCCTGGTTATAGAAACTGTTCACTTTGCCTCCAATCAGCACAAAAAAATAAAAATCTGAATTCGGCTGCCAACTTCTAACATCTGAAGTAAATTTGGGAATATTCTCTTAAATTATAATTTGTTCTGTGTTGCTGTTCACAACATAACCGAGAACAAAAATAATAAAAGTAAATGTTCATTGTTCATGAGGTTTTTAAATTCTATTTAAACTATGATTATCTTACAACGGTTGCTGTAAAAACCCTGCACAGAAGTCAGGCACATCTCTTTTCACCAATCTCCATGCCAACCAAACATTGTCCCTTCCTTCAGGAGAGATTCAAGCAGTCCCAGTCTACCCTTTGGAGGTGAACTCAACTCCAGTGTTTTTGTCCTGGAGCGAGGAACTGGAGCCATATGAATCAAGTGGAAAAACCCTTGTTCCACTCCAAAATGCTGGATCTGGGTTACATTTGATTACATAGTGCTCTGAGTATCTATTTCACTTAACAGCCTCATGAGAGGGAGAAAAAAGGCATGTCACCGCAAGGCTAGCATCCTCATAAACAAACAATCACTGTCCTTTTCACAAAGCTCCTTTCTTTTTCCTTTCTTTTGCTTCCACTGCAGAGTGAAAGCAAAGCAAATGATGGAAGGAGATGGAGGACCGAGGAAGGGGAGGCAAGGGGAACTAAACCGATAAAAACCTCAACAAAGTCACAAATCAACAGCCAATGAGGTGAGGGCCCAGCTGAATAATTTAAAATGATTTGACAGTGCTCTCCATAATTCATGTCTAATTAATAAAACACCGTTCTACCTAAAAGACTTACATACACTCCTGTAAATTCAACAGCTGGGTTTTTCTTTTGCTGTTGTTGTTTTTCTACTTAGTACAATTGTGAATATCACACCCAGTATGCCTTTAAACCAAATTCTGTTCCTCGTCAATTCTATTAACAGGACGTGTTGTCTTTATTAAAACAAAAGGTCAAAAGAAGAAGGGAAACAGAGGATCTAGTCATTGCCTCAGTGCTGGAGGCATCATGGACAGCAGAGGCTCAAGCATCTACAATATGTTGGCGTCTTGTATCACGGCACCACACGCTTTAACGAGGAACATCTGATATAGCAACCGTTGTGGTACACCGAAACAGTACGTATGCACACAACTGGAAGTAGCAGCAACTGACAGCAAATATTTGTGGAGGGAATTCAGCAGATGGGTCGAACAGACCTTTGATAAACAACAGACCACAGAGAAACTCATACGTTGATGGGAAAACACTTTAGATTGTTTGGCACAATCTAAAGCACCACTGGGCTCCTGAAGCAGTGAGCTCTAGCAAGTTGGTGTAAAGCAAAGCGGAACAGTAATTTCTCACAATATATAGATGGAAAAAACAGCTGTAGTTGGTTAAATCTACACTGTAAAGCCTCCTAAGTATAACATTTTAACTGAACTTGATAGAACATTTACAGCTGGTGCCACTCTGCAGAGAGAATGTGTAAAAGTTTCTATAAGTAGTGTTTTGTTTTGATTGTCAACTAGCTTCTAGTGGCAGTATAGGCAAGGGTGTGTGCTAAACTCAAACCCAATTGTCTCAGTGCACAAGGTTTCTTTCTTCCACCTACACTGTCTTTCTGAGGTAAATACACATGTTGAGTCAAAGGTCCTTAAAAATGACCTACCAGGCTATAAAGGCTTTAAACAAATTTCATATCTTCATGACAGTGTGACAATAGTTATTCCTAAAACACATCAAAATAAGGCCTCGAAGGCTATTTACTATATGATAACACTTGCCCTCCAGGTGATGCGATATGAAGGGGCACAGGTTTTCCGTTTCAAACACTCACACTCTATCTAGCCTAAATAATGTCAGTTATGCTGGGTTCCCAAGCCATTTGGATTTTGTATGAAAGCCCCAAAATGAACCAAGGCACACTTCAAGAGGAAATTTCCAAAGCAAACCAAATAATCTCATCAAATCACTGTTTTCTGTAATTGAGGTTTACCAAACTTCCTGGGTTGCAACTTGTTGAATGTCATGGTTCTTTCATAAAACTGATTTCATGGGGGAAAAAAAAGCCCTTGTGCAGTTTCAACCTGTGCTCCAAAACTTATCTGTTATGTCTGTTGCCAAAAATGATTACTTTGGTAGCTTTGTAGTGCGAGTAGTTGTACAGGCTGGCCTGCAAACAAGGAAATCACAGTCAGGTAACATGAAAATAAAGTCTGGTGGGTGCCATTCTCATGTACAACTTTAAACTTCTTTAGTCCTGCTGTAGCTCTCAGAGGCGACAGACCAATTGATGGAGACCTGTGATCCAACCTATAAAGTAGACTGTCTATAGCAAATTAAAACATATTAAGACAGACATATTAGCTACCAAATTCTAAATGCTATCATGTAATGAAATGTTACACAATACTGACCAATATAATTATTCTGCATAATTATAAAGCATGAAATCTGTTCCCCTGTGGACTAGGCAGGCAGACTAATCCTGTCAGGCATTCACACTCATCACCAAGAGGGAAAACACCCATTCACCTTAACTATATCATCAACTGATCAGTGAAGTCAGTCCTCTGTGATTGCATTCAGCCTTGACAGGCCATTACACTAAATGCACAGTAGTATTGAGAGAGCTCTAAATAATGCATCAGGTTATTAGACCAGATCTGTACTCATTCCAGTCTTGGGCACGCAAAGCCAGAGAACTGGTTTTGAGCTTTAGGCTTCTACCGAATGTCTCGCTCTTGAAGGATGTGCATATTGTGTGTACGGCGTTCGGAAGCATCAATCAAATCTGTCATTGCTGTAATAATGCAAAAAATTACTCTTCTCATTGTGTGTTACACTGCCATAAAGCCTAAGGATAAAACAGTAACACTGTGATTTCTGATTAGCTTACAGGGTTGAGTCCAGCTCCATGACAGGCTGACCAAGTATGGATTCCTTACCTGACAGCTGGCAAATAGAAAGCTACAATTTACGATTACAACCTTTTATAAGAAGCATCTACAGCTAGTGTGCTTGTAGACTGTAGCTAGACTATCGTACCAATTACTGAATCACTGCCATTGCAGCAGCAGGAGGTACATTATGCATTGCCAATGACTGTATTCACTTCTGTGAATCATCAGATTTACTTTTTCCACATTATCTGCTCTAAACCAAACTTTTCAAAGAAAAGTTAACACTTTAATAATTTAAGCATTTATTAATTTTCTTCTGTCCATTACATTCCTGTTAAGCCTGTTTGTAAACCAAAGCAACAAACCTACCATACCATAACCACCAGTTATGGTATGTGAGGTATGGTAGGTATGGTAGGTGGGCTAAAAAGTGAAAGACGAGAGACAGCTGGTATTTCACAACCTATTGATAGAATGAAAAAATATGACTGCTGATAATGAGGTTTATCTTTTTAAAAAGGTCTTGTCTAATTGCTTTAAATTCTCATTTATGTATTACCACATGAAACTAGGGAAACAAGCCATAAGTCACTTTTTGTATCATATGACCTTAAAGCCACATTAGTCTGTGATTGTTTATGAGTAAGTTAACTAAGAATTTTCTGAAACAAGGTTAATCAAAGTGACTAAAATGGATCTTTTAGTTTACATCTCCAAACTGAAATTTAGATAGTCGGTTTAACAATATTTAATAAATTGGTTTTGACCTTTATAGATATATATTCATTTAGACTGTTACAGTGCCCTTGCTCCCAAGGTGATACCTTCCGGCAGTCCAGGAACTATTATGGTGTTGTTTATGGTAGTAAACATCACTGACTGGTCAAACACAGGCTTCCAGACTGTGTAATGTATACAGCATTTATTCTGCAAACGAGTACTGATTTTTACTGGTAACAATATTAGGACTTGGGACGGGAATTTCTAGGAATGTTATTAATGTTTAAATAATATTACTCAATAAAAGAGAGTGATAAAGAGAATGGGAGTGGGTTCTTAAGAAAACAAAACTTAACTCCATTTGCTAATTATTTCAATGTGATTATGCACTAAAAACTGAAAATTACCTGCAAAATACAAAGTAGAACGTTGCTACTTTGGAGATGGATGTCTTGACATTCTTTCAACTCCCCTTCAAACACACATGGTTCCTTTCTAACATCTAATCAAACATGACATGGCTACACAACAGTCATTTAAAAAGACAGAAACTGTGCCAGCAGAAATTCATACAGGAATGTCAAAAATGGACTTCTTCTAACTTCTGTCCTGAGGTTAGATTCACAGATTACTTTAATTTCCAGGCTGCTTCTATCCCTGGTAGTTGTATTCATTTTTTTCATTAAGAATCTATTTGAGAATCTATGCTTTACTAACATTCAAAAATTAAGCAATGGTGTAGGGATTAAGTCCAAAGCCATAGGCAATTTCATACTGTGATGTGCATAACAACATCATATGAACTGACGTTAGGCATCGCTGTTGATTGTAACATATAGTATATCTGTGACAAAAAAAAATATTATTAAAAAGTATTAAAGGACAAGGAAGACAAAACAGGGACAATCATAGTCAGTGACTGACACTGAGAGTTGCACATATCCATGAAAAGCGGAGAACTACTGAGGGTAATTAAGGTAGCTCATCTCAGCCACATGACTAGTATGAGTAGGAATAAGCTTACACCAGCTGAAGGAGACAAATCTCTTGAACAGGAACAATTTCTACCAGATTGTTATGGCTGGTACATTGGTTTATGTAAAATATTTTGAAACTCTTACTTGCTTAAGCAGTTTATTGAATTTGGTTTCTGTCTTAAAACAGTTGTAACATTGTACATGAGTGATTTCATTGTTTTGTGCTTTGCTGTACCACAACATACTTGGTGGAAAGCAGAAAAAGTACAGGTTTAACATTGTAATGAATGTTTCTCAAATTCAAAGCTGTTAGGGCACCTCAACTC